TCCTCCTCTTCGTCCTCCTCCTCGCGGACAGGAAGTGGTATCTGTTGCCTAGCGACGGTGTCTGTGTTTGCAGGAAGGTTCATCACGTGAGGAAGCAGCTGCTCGGTCTGTCGGCTCAGCTGATCAGCATAGAGAAGGAGGTCACCATGCTGATGGAGAGAGCCATCAAGGTACAGTACGGATTCCTGTAGACCAGGACCCAGAGTAGACCATCAGACCCTGACTCTGTGTGTGTGTGTGTCCAGCTGCAGGAACAGCTGCCTCAGAAGGTTCTTCCTCTGGTGTCCAGTGGGATGAAGCCTCAGGCCTACCTGAGCCAGAACACCTTGGTGGAGATGACCCTGGGGTGAGACCTTCTTCATCTTCATCTTCATCTTCATCTTTATCATTTTACACACAAAATACACTGAAAGTATATCAGTGAAAAATCAATCAATCAAACTTTATCTGTTTGATTGAGATGATTGACAGACAATAATGAGACAAAATGTATTTTACAGAAAGAACAATAACATTTAATCATATTTAATTATATTTAATAATAATTATTAATATTTGATTATATTTAATATTTGATTATATTTAATATTTGATTATATTTAATAATATTTAATTATATTTAATAAAGTGAAAGAACTAAATAAAGAAATCAGCAGAAATAACAAAAACAATCAGAGAGGATAAATCAATAGATAAATATATAGATTAGAGTTATTAGTAATAATCTGCTGTGTTTCAGGATGAAGAAGCTGAAGGAGGAGATGGAGGGAGTCGTCAAGGAGCTGGCAGAGAACAACCACTTCTTAGAGAGGTAAACACACCGTTAGCCTAGCTTGGCACAAAGCTATTCACACTGAGCTACAACGCTGCCGCTAGAGGCCACGCCCCCTCCACTCTGAGTGGGCGGGGCTACAGAAGCGAGTGACATTAACCTGCGACTGTTTGTCCTCCAGGTTCGGGACTCTGACTCTGGACGGAGGTCTGAGGGGTTGAAGGACGTCTGCAGCCTGTAAATATTCAGTGTTTATCCTGTAAATAACGAGACTGTAACATGAAGCTCGCAGTGAAACGCTCCGGAAGTAATTAATGAACCTGTAATTGACCTGACAACACATATAGGGGTTAATTAAGGGTTAATTGTGGTTTAATTAGGGGTTAATTAGGGGTATTTCAGGGATTATAAAGATTGAACTGTGATGAACGAATGTCTGTAATCAGTTTCCTGCATGAACTCAAACGTATCCGAGAGGTCAAATAAAACCAGAACGTTTTTTATTTTGTCGACTTTAAGGGTTTAAACTCGTTAATTAAAGACTGTTAACGAGTATAACGTTTATTTATTATACTCACAGGCCGATCAGTAATCAATGGGCTTTGTTTCCTGTTTCATGTCGTCATATATTCTCAGACAGAAATACCTCCTTCTCTTCATCTTCATCTTCTACTCTTCACGTTTTTGTTTTTATTGTCAATAAACAACATTCAGAATGTTTGTTTGAAAAACATGTAAATAAAGAAAATATCTTTAAACCGTCTGTATTTATCTGCTGTTTTATTAATTTATATTTATAAATGATTAAATACTGTGATGAATCAGACTTATGATATAAAGTCAAAGTTTAGACTTTCAGATTTTCACTGAAAGTGAAAAAATGAGTCCAGTTATTTAAATTCGTGCCTCCAATAATTAGTTTTGCACACAATTTCTTAAAAAATTTAAATAAAGATAATTAAACACAAAATGAAGTTTGGAATTATAATAACATTTTTACTGTTTGATTATTTTTGTTTCACTGTGTTTTTATTTTTTATTAGTTATATTTTTATTTTTTTGGCAGGCGTGAGTATGGAGTTAGAATCATGCC